CGGTTGCTGTGTTCATGCTGGATGGGGAAGTAGAATCATAGAGTCGTTAAGGTTGGAAAAGACCTCAGGGATCATCAAGTCCATCTAGATGCTTCAAAGCGTTTGGTTTGCCACCATGCAGTGGCAGCTTTGGGTTCTATTAGGTTGCTGTACCGTAAGACTGAAAGCTGCTTGGAAGCCTGTCTCAGTAAGCTCTGTTTGTTTGTTTGATTTAATCCTCCCCACGCCTTCTCCTGACTCGTTTTCAGTTCATTCACATGCTCCCGTGAGCATCTTATTAATGGCCTGCCCTCACCAGCTCGTTTTAGCACTGTGTCTAAATCCAGCAGAGGTGCCCTGCCAGCCCCTTGTTATCTCCATTCTAGTTTCTTGTTCTTTCTCTAAGCCACCCAATGGAAAATTTCCTATGCAAATGGATCTCTGAAGGTGCAATTTTAGGACGGCAGTGTTGGGTATTATCTGGGGCTGTGATGACGCCTTGTATTTTCAGCGTGAGGGATTCCAGCGCGCTGCATGCACTCTGCTGAGGAGCTGCTTGCTCGGCATGCCAGCAGAACACAGCCAAGGCTGGGGTGGGATGCGGCATCTGTTTTAACAGCTCGCAGACAGATTGCTCAATTGTCAGACAGGAAATTAAAAAAAAAAAATAAAAAAAAAAAGAGAGAGAGCAAAATCTACCCATGTTAACTCATAGGTGAAATATAAAGCAGGTATATTTTTTTCTGACTCCAGTCAAGTTGGTGGACATGTAGGCATCATCGTTGTTTTCTTCCTCTTCCAAAAAGACACACAATGATCTTTAACAGGCATCAGCTTCGATGTGAGACATGGGTAATAAATAACAAATTGTAACCAGATTTGCATTTGGTGCACAGTTGGAGCAGGGGCAGGCTAGCAGCCTGGTAAAAGTTTCAGCAGCCCTGTGGTTTCTCTAGTTTAGGTTTTTGTTTCTAAAGGAACACTCCCTGTTAGAAACAATAAGTTTAGCGCAGGGGACCCAGTCTCAGCCACACTCCTAAGTCCCTGGCTTTACTTTGGGCAGTGAAAGAC